CCATTATAATCAGGAGTTTGAAAAAACACTACTTTCTCAAGTTACCTAGAAGTTTACATGCTTTGGGGTTTACCAACTATGAGGTCTTCCTGGAGTTTCATCACATCCAGGATCCTTCTCCTCTCTATCAAGAAATCTGTTTCCCTCAGACCTTGGTGTTGGGTCAAGTACTCCCACAACATGAGATCCAGTCAGCTGCCATCATTTCTGATGTGGGTGATGAGTTCCCAGGGACAGACAAGGCAAGAGGGGAGGATGTCAGGGCCTTGAACCCAGCAGGACTTAGTGGCTGGTGAGGTCAAAGCGAGGATGGGCCTCCCAGGCTCTCCCTGGGCCCAGGCTGGTGTGGGGGCCACTGCCCCTCAGAGATACATGTCAGTGGTGCACAAACGTCAAATGTTAGGTGTTTGGCCATCAAAGAACAGATTTCCTGACAAAGTTGGTATATTAGTTAGTCATCTTTGTTTGCAGTAAAACTACCCCTAAAAAGGTAGTTAACAGCCTTAACAGCGAGGGGAGTTTAGTCCCTGCTAGGCATTCTCACCATTCTAAAAAGCTGCTTAGAATGACAGCTATGTATTAGAGAAAACCGCTGCTGAGGTCAAGGAGGTAGCAGGGCTCCCCAGTTGCTGGTGCTTGAATTAGTGTCCAGTCTACTGGTAGACAGTGCCCTAGCTCAGAGCTCAGACCACTGGAAGGTCTGAAGCTTTGTGTCTATTGCTTCTCCTCTGTTTCACTGGCTTAGATGTTTGTTCCATGTACAACTTAGCCAGGCTGAGCACAGCCTCCAGGAGATACCAGGACATGGTACCAGTCTGGTCTGGATGGTACTAGTGCAAACCCAGGCACAAAAATGACTATTTTAACTGGAATATAAGAAGTGTACATTCATGCTTTGGAGCCATGACTGGACTGCTGTGATGTGGGAGAAGTGAGAGCCCAGGAGTTGAGCAGATGGGGATGGTCACCAGTTGGCCACACCTGCAGGCTCCACCTGCTCCCTGGCTGTGCACAGGCTTCCATGGTGGCCCACACACTTTCCAGAAAGAATTACAAACTGTCTGTTCTCATGTTTCTTGGTCTTTAGGGAAAGAAAAAGGGGAAGCTTGGCTCCTCCATGGAAGCACATGGCTGAAATAGGCACAGAACCCATTTTTATCTATATTGCTTCTTATTTTCTTTTTTCTTTGAGACAGAGTTTTACTTTTTCCACCCTTGGTAGAATGCCATGGCATCACATCTCACAGCAACCTCCAACTACTGGGCTTAGATGATTCTCTTGCCTCAGCCTCCCAAGTAGCTGGGACTACAGGTGTCTACCACAACGCCTGGCTACTATTTGTTGCAGTTTGGCCGGGGCCAGGTTCGAACCCACCACCCTCGGTATATGGGGCCGGCACCCTACCCATTGAGCCACAGGCCCCACCCCTATATAGTGCTTATTTATTGATGAACACTTCCCCTGCCTGGGATGCTTCTGCTATGTGCTGGACAGCAAAGACCAAGCTGGGTCTTGCCAATGCTCCACAGTCACCTACAAGTAGATGGCAGGTGACTTTACTGTCTCTGTGGGAGAGATGACACCTCCCTCTAATTCTCGCAGAGGTTTATTATTTTATTTATTTATTTATTATTATTTTTTTTATTGAATGGCAACTGTGTACATTAATGCACTTCTGGGGTACAATATGGTGTTTTTTTTTTATTGAATGGTAACTGTGTACATTAATGCACTTGGGGGTACAGTATGGTGTTTTCACACACAATCCAAGACACTTCCATCAAACCGGTTAACATAGCCTTCATGTAACTTTCTTAGTTATTATGTCAAAACATTCATCTTCTACTCATAGAAAGATTCACTTGTACCCTTGCAAGATGAACCACAGAAGTGAACCCTCGAATCCCTCTCCCTACCCCCTCTGCCCCCCCATATCCTTAGGTTGTTATTAGGTTATAGCTTTCATATAAAAAGGTTTAAATTA